CTTTTTGCGGATACAGACTAACACGGCTGCTACTCTGAAACCTGTCTTTATACATACAGAGAACATGAAAAGGTGGAAGTACCCATACCAACTGTAAGAGGCTAATTAATTAAGAGAAGCTATTATCAGGAGGGGAGAAAAACTTTTGAAGTGATAATCAAGATGGCCCATTTCAGACAGTTGACAAGAAGGTGTGAGGATACTTTAACATAGGGAAATAGATCCAATTAGTGTAATGACCGAGCCATTCCCAGTCTCTGTTCAAACCTAAGTTAATGGTATCTAGTTTGCATATTAATTCAAGTTCAGCAGCTTCTCATTGGAGTCTGTTTTTAAAGCTTTTCTGTTGCAAAATTGCCACCTTAACATCTGTCACTGAGTGATTAGAGAGGTTAAAGTGTTCTCCTACTGATTTTTGAATGTTATGATTCCTGATGTCAGATTTGTTTATTCTTTTGCCTAGAGACTGCCCGGTTTGGCCAATGTACATGGCAGAGGGGCATTGCTGGCACATGATGGCATATATCACATTGGTAGATGTGCAGGTGAACGAGCTCTGATAGCATGGCTGATGTCCATCCAGGACACACCACACGATCCATTGTCTACAGCCAAGCTCTAAGATACAACCGCATTTGTTCCAATCCCTCAGACAGAGACAAACACCTACAAGATCTCTATCAAGCATTCTTAAAACTACAATACCCACCTGCTGAAATGAAAACACAGATTGACAGAGCCAGAAGAGTACCCAGAAGTCACCTACTACAGGACAGGCCCAACAAAGAAAATAACAGAACGCCACTAGCCGCCACCTTCAGCCCCCAACTAAAACCTCTCCAGCGCATCATCAAAGATCTACAACCTATCTTAAAAGATGATCCCTCACTCTCAAAGATCTTGGGAGACAGGCCAGTCCTCGCTTACAGACAGCCCCCCAACCTGAAGCAAATACTCACCAGCAACCACACACCATACAACAAAACACTAACCCAGGAACCTATCCTTGCAACAAACCCTGCTGCCAACTCTGTTCACATATCTATTCCAGTGACACCATCATAGGACCTAATCACATCAGCCACGCCTCAAGTACTCCTGTTCTTTTTACATATATATTGTTAGAGGTTCATAATGTAACCAAACAGTTCCTGTCTGTATTCTGTTAGTTCAGAGACCAAAAAGAGATGTTAACACTTAGATGAACTGTGAATGTAGTAATATCATCCTTCTTATTTCTCTTTGAAGTTTGTAGTAAACTACCTATAAATGGCTGAAGATGGGTAATTACCTTATGCTAATCAATGTAGCTAATTACTGGTTACCTTATGCTAATCAATGTAGCTAATTACCGGTGATGCTTAGAAAATAAGAGGCCTACTTCAAAGGGACAATGCTTTTCCTATTGTTCACCCAAGAACTATATGCTGTCCAGAAGCTGCAAGAGAACTACAGGATAAAAGGAATCTTGGGTCCTGATCGTGTTATCTCAGATCTGCTTAAGCTTCATCAGGGGACGTTTGAGTTGCAAGACTGAGGTCTCCAGTTCCATTCTGGATCGCCCTGATATTGGACATTGGACTGGAACCTATGGAACTTGTTTCAGAATTCTAAAGCTCACCATCTCTACCACGAAACTGACCTAAGATCTCTATTCATACCGGTGTGTACAATGATCTGTTAACCTACACTCTCCCTATCTTTTCCTTTTCAATACATCTTAGTGTAGTGAATAAGAATTGGCTGGCAGCGCGTATTTGGGTAAGATAGTCATTATCTTGGTGGGTAAGTGTCCAATCCTTGGGGACTGGTAGAGCTTTTCATATGATGAACAAAATGTTCAGTAATATTTGACTTGGCTGTCTGGGTGGGAGCCCAAGGCTGGGTTGCTTTAAGGGAACGGTGTTTTCGCTTCTGGGTAACCAGTAAGGTATCGTGGAAGCTGTCTTGTTGCTAGCTTGGTACATCTAAGTATTAGAATAACCATCAGTTTGGGGGATCATCTGCCCCGTTCTTTGCCGTTTGCCCTGATTGAGCAATCTCAGTGTGGCCCCTCTGGAGCCCCAGTCACAACCAGTTCTATACTTTACCCTCTTCTTAACCCTAACCCTAACCCTAACCACTGAACTAACCCCTCAGTCCCCAGCACAAAACCTGTTAATGGTTTTCAACTCTTTTGAATGTACTGACAATCTGCTGCTTGAAAACACAGATTACTGCCTCTCAAAAGCCTGTTTCTTTACCGGTTTATTGATGTTACTATTGGTAGTAAATATTAATCTTTTATGATTCTCTTTTGTATATACAACTCTTGTTATTCCTCGGCCCAAAAGCTCAGCATCCTTTTAGCTAAACTCTACTCCCAAAGAGTGTTTTGGTTTAGACTAACGAATGTCTATAATCATAGTTAGTCTGTACTGAGCCTGTTCTCCACTCTACTTTTCCCCTGACCTTTTTGACCTTCCCAGATATCCAGAAAGCAACTGCTAGTAAATGACGTGTCATTGCAAT